TATTTGCTTATTTTTTTAACTTCATCTATATTTTTTCCTATTTCTTATCTATCAGAATTCCAATGTCTAATCTATTTTTCTTATTTTCTGCTCTATTTACCTAGTATTCTACATATCTGTTATTTGCAGTATATGCTAGAAATTTTTCTTCTCTTTCTGTAAGGTTTGTTGTAATTCACAGTATTGTAATTTCTTCTTCTTCTGCTTAGCCCAGCAGATTTCTGAGTTTTCAACCTTTAGTTTTAAGTCCATTAATGTTATGACATGCAATTTTAATTTCTTTTCTTCCTTCTTTTTACTTCTTTTTTAGTTGTTCTTACTCTATTTTTGGTTCTTGAACCTTTCTTTCTACTTTTTGTTTTTCTTATTTTCAAAATCAAAAGATATTTTTTTTTTCTTTAAACATTCTTCTTTCTCTTTGCAGAAAGTCTTTAATCTTCTTGTCTGTATTTTTAAATTAACTGAAACATCCTTAAAAATGGTTGGCCAGGCCTTTTTTGTACTTAAATATATTTTTTCCAATCTGTTTAGTTTGTCTAAAAATCTGACCTAAAATGTTCTTGACTTGTCTGGTTTTTGGTTGATGTTGTGTATCTAATTTTTTCTTTGTTTCTTTTAAGTTTTCTTCTTTTTCTTTCATATTGGTATTTCTGTTTCCTAACCATTCTTCAATGTTTTGTAGTTGAGAATCACTTTCTATTATCATATATCTTCTATTTGAGTATTGACTAGTTCTATTCTAGCTTTTTTCTCTTTTTTCTCGACTGCTTTCTTTTTTTCTTTTTTTTGCATCAATGTTTTTATCTTCTAACCATTCTTCTATATTTTACATTTAAGAATCACTTTTCATTTTTATATACTCTTTTTTTGAGTTTTAACTGGTTCTATTCTAGCTATTTCCTCTTCTACTTCTGAAGCTTTCTCTTTTTTTTTGTTTCTCTTGTTCTTTCATTTACTCAGTATACTCAAAAGTTGTTATACATAATTGGTTTTAACTAGGCTGTCATTATTTCTCTTTTTGTTGCAAATGTAATTATCACAGTTTTTTTTAATTTCTATTTCTATTTGGTGAGATATAAACTGATCTTGCATCTTTGCTTCTTAGACATCATAATAATAAAACCTCTAAGGCATTACTTGGCAATTCTGTTAATTTTGCTATATATTGCCTTTGCTTTTGTCTTGCTTCATAGTCTTCTTCCTCTTCTGTTACTCTTATCAGTTTATTATTGTTGACTGATATAAATAATAATATGCTATTTTTTTTTGGAAAAAAACACATCTAAGTATGCTTTTATTTATGTTAAAAAGTTATTATATTTACATATATATATAAAGAGATTAGTTTGTATAGTTATAAAGAGGTACTAAAGGTAGTAAGCAGTTTCTTAGCTGCTTTTGATTCTGAACTAATTTTGCTGTAAGTTATTGAAGTAGATTAAGTTCATATTTTAATTTGTACTTGGTTATGTTAACTATGACTTCTGAGAAAGTTATATTATTTCCCCATTTGGCTTAAGTATACCAGCACCAAATCTCATATATGACTATTATATGTAGTCAAATTATTGATTTTTTTTACTTTAGCATTGTGAATATTGGTGGCTATAAAGACATCGTTAAGCATAGAGGAAGTAGTGTAGGTTTGTGATAGCTTGAATGCATTATATGCTGTGTTCCAGATTGCTTTACTCAGTAGACATTTTAAACTAAAATGTTTTAATGTTTGAGTGATATAAAGGCAGTTAGGGCAATTGCTTGATTCATTTTGGCTAATGTGTACTAGTCAATAGCCAAGGGGAAGTGCTCTGTGAAACAGTTGCCAAAAGATGTCCTTTTTCTTGTTAAGAACATTTTTTAGCTTTATCCAGTTGTAAACAGTAGGAATGTCTTTGTTCAGGTTTATATTCTCAGTGTTTGCCTTTTTTGGCTCTTGGTTGATGTAAAAGCTTTTAAGAGCCTCTTTGACTGAAAATAGATTACCTTTAAGGTTTTGTATTTCGATTTGGTCTAGTGACCAGAGCCATGTGCTGCTGGTTGTAATTTGCCTTTTGAAGTGGCCCCAAGCTACTATGTATGGTTTTCATCTGTTTGGCCAACCTTTGGTTTTGCATGGGTGTTGAGATAGAATATTTGCAATTGGAGTGCATCTTTTGCTTTGTAGGCTTTGATATATTATTTCTCTTTCTGTCTTGGCCCAGAATGTGTTACTAGAGAAAAGCTTAATTAGAATAGAGATGAGTCTTATGTCTAGCAAGTTTTTTAAAATTGGGGCTGCTAGGCCACCTTGTTCATAGCTATATTGAAAAGTGGAATATTGTAGCAGCATTTTGGACTTATGCTTTTCCAATTAATGATTGTTATGTTAATTTCATTTAATTGTTTTTGGAAAGGTGGAAGAAGGTAGGCAAGATACCAGATTTTTGATATGAGCAGGGTTTTGGTAACCAGGATTTTACTTTGAAAGGAAAGGTTTCTTTGTGACAAGTGCTGTATCTTGTTCTTAATCTTCTTGAGTGTACTGGCCCATAATGTTTTGCAAGGTTCACCTTTGATGTTAATTGTGTATCCTAGAATAGTAATTGTGTTTTGGCTTTGTTCTAATGTTTTGTACTCTGATTGTTTATATAATTCTACTCTGTATGCATTTTCTGTAATAGGAAGAAGAATTGTTTTGGACTTGTTAATAGAGGCATTGGAGGCCCTTTCATATTTATCTATAATTTCATTCAGCGAGATTCAGTCTAATGAAGAGCCTATTTCTATAGATAAGTCATTAGCATAAGCTGTGATTTTGAAGTAGTGATCTTCTACCAGAATGCCTCTGATTTTCTGAGTAATTGAGCTTATTAGGTGGTTTATAGCAAGAAGATATAGCAGTGGAGAAAGAGGATCACCCTATCTAACTTCTTATTTTACTCTGAAAGCAGTAGAGACTTTTCCTTTGTCAATTATGTGTGCTTTTTGTGTTTTGAATAAGGAGCTGATTACTTTAGAGAATTTGTTGTTAAAGTTCATTTTTTCTAAAACTATTTGTATAAACTGGTAATTAACTCTGTCAAAGGCTTTTTGTTGGTCCAGCAAGAGAAGCTAGTGTTGCTTAGATTGGTCTGTTTGATTTCTAAGGACTGTTAGAACATCAAGAGCTAAGTCTGCTATATATCTTTTTGAGATAAAAGCTTGTTGTTCTGGACCAATTATAGTATCACATATTGGGTTTAGTCTATTTGTGGGAATTTTCATGAATATTTTGGCATTAGCATTTACAAGTAAGATTGGCTACCAGTTATTAACTTTAGTTAGGTCATCTGCTTTCTTGGGAATTAGTATTATAAGACTTGTGCTTCAGGAGTTAGGAATATGTTCTTTATTAAGAACATCATTAAAGAGCCTTACTAAAACTAGGAGGATTAGATCTTTTGTGTCCTTGTAGAACTCATATATAAGTCCATTTGCTCTAGGTGATTTGTTGTTTGGTAACTTGTCTATTACTTGACTTATTTCATCTTCAGTTATTAGGCTAGTAAGAGTATCATTCTGATTAGTAGTGATTTGAGTAATGTTTTCCAGAAGTTGGTTTGCTGCATTTGTGTTTATGTTTTCAGTCTGGTAGATTTCTTGGTAGGAGTTTTTAATGTAATTAAGAATATAGTCTTAAGATTGTTTGGTTGTTGTCTCTGGGTCTTGAATTACTGTGCAGCTAGTAGTAGTATATTTGGTCTTGTATAGAGAGAAAAAGTACTTAGTAGATTTTTTACACTCTTCAATCCACTTAGCATTAAATCTAAGATGCTATTTGTTAGAGAGATGTGTTAGTTCTTCTTGTAATTGAAGTTTGAGGCTTTTGATGATAAGTTTTAGTTCTTCCAAGTTTGGGTTTTTTAGCTAGTTTATTTTTAAAATTACACAGTTTTCTGTTTAGTTTTTGTATTTTCTTTTCAGGAACCATTTTAGGTTTAAATGCTCTAGCTATGAACTGAATAGTACATTTGTGCCAGTCCCAGTTAAAGATATCTTTAATGTTTTGTAATTCCTTCCAGATTTCTTCTCAAAGTTCTAAGTTCTTCCAACTTTTTCAGTTGAATCTCCAGAGTGAAGAGGTCCCATTGTATTGTTTGAAGTTGAGTTCAGTAATTACTATTAAGTGATCTGAATTGCCAAAGCTAGTGTATGTGTTTTTGCAAGTATAGCTATAACTTGCTTCTATAAAAATATAATCTAGTCTGATTGCCATCTTCTGATTGTTTTGAGTATTTTGGTAGAAGGTGAGGAATTGCTTATTCTTAGAAAAGATAGCTGTGTCAATAAAGTCTGATATCAGTTCTTTTAGTTTGTCTCTAGATTGATCTGGTTGTGCTGTTGCATGACTAATTCAGTTTATATTGGGATCAAGGTTTGTATTGAAGTCCCCTTCTACTATGTTTATACCTTCATCAATGTTGGGTGGGGCCCAGTTTTGAAAAAAAGTATATCTTTCATCCTGTGAGGAAGGGGCATATACATTTGTTAAGAAAAATGATTGTTGTTAAATTTCTGCTCTAGCTGAAGATACTCGGCCATTGTGTGAGTTCTTGGTTATGGTTAATTTGATGTTTTTGTTTCCTGTAAGTATGGCTGTTTTTGAGAACCAGAATGAGTCGAATCCCTATTGTTGAGCTAAAAAGTTTCTTGTATTAGGGTCTTTTAGATTGGTTTCTTGTAATATTATAATATCTAAGTTGTACGATTTTAATAAGGTAAGGGTTTTTTGTGCTTTAGGCCTGTTATTGAGGCCTTTAACATTAAGTGTAGCAATTTTAATCATGAAATAAAATGAAGGATTGTTGTGCTACACTTGTTTTTTCCTTTTTTTTTAAAGTTTTTCTTTGGTGGTCTACTTTGCTGTGAACCTCCTGTTTCTCTGTATGGATGAAAGCCATTGGCCTGACCTTTCTTCTTGTTCTTTAGTTTTTGTTTTCTGGAAATTACTGTGGTGAATAGTATGTTGTCTGTTTCTTGATTCAAAGTTTGGGGACTGTCTATATTATTGGTTAATTCTATAACTGAGTTGGCAAAATGAGTGGTAACAAAAGAATTGTTTGAGGATATCTCTAGGTTCATAGTACTGGGTGTACTAAAGCTGCTAAAATCAGATGTGTTGGGTTCTAAGATGAAGGTTTTGAATGAATCTTCTTTAGTAATGATGTGTTTTAGTGCTGAGTTTGTGCAAGATTCCTTTGAGCTTATATTGATGTAAGGGTTGTCTTCACTAAACTCTTTGTCTATAACAGATGATTTTAATGTTGATGTTTTTTTGAGTTGTGCCCTAACCTCTTTAAGTTCTTGCCTAATCTGAATAGAGGCTTTAAGTTCTTCATAGTTCTTTTTGATATGCTCCTCTTTTTCACAATAGAAACAGACCTTGAAGGCTTCTTTCCAGTCTATAGTTACCTTGTAGTCATTGATGTGAGTACTTCTAGAGAGTCTAGTAGCAAGCTCAGAGTCTTCTGTTATTTCAAATGTGACTAGCCACTGGTCATAACAGACTGTGGTTCCTTTATAGAAGAGAGGTTTAATAGAGACAACTTGTCCCACCTCCTTAAAGGCCTCTAGAATAAGGTTTCTGATTGATTTTGAGTCTTCTAATAGAGTTATGTAAAGTTTGATTGTGAGGAAAGATCATCTGATATTGACTGATATATATCCAAAGAGGGTTTGTTTAAATAATGAAATGCCTTCAGAGGCATATTGTTGAAGTTTTTCTTTGTTCTTTAAGATAACTTCCAAGGAAGTTCTTTTTTCTCTTGTTGTGTGAACTTTTGCTGTGATTAGGTCTTCTTCTATTTTGGCAGCAAGAGCAGTGATGATATCATTGGTGTTAATATTGATTAAGCTTTGTATGTCTAAAATAAGCACATTATTATTTTTGGTATGAATTCTATGTCTTGTAGTTGATTTGAAAAAAACTGCATTTTCTCTCTTAAGTTTAGAGAACAGGTTGGACCATTGTAATGGCTTATTAGAGCCTGCAGAGCTATTTTTTGCTAATAGCATTGGACCAGAGGGCAGAATCTTAGTCATTGTGGTCTGGGGCAATGGATCAGTACCCTGATTGTTGTCCTCTGATTGACTGTTTTGGTTAGACACATGTTCGTCAGCTGAAACATTGTTGTTTTGACGTGTGTTGTTGTTTCTTCAGTTGTTGTAGTGCGAGCTTTTGTTTGTTCTGAGAGGATATCTTCTCATATTTTACTGCCTTGTAGTTCTTTTTTTGTAATATTGGCCCAGTTAAAAGAAGTGTTGTCAGTAGAACAACTTGTCTGGGTGTTCATATCTTGGTTCACTTCAGCACTGTTAGATGTCTCTAAAAATTTTGTTGTCTTTGTATCGTCTTCAGTTTTTTTTTTTCACATTCAAGTGCTCTTTATTTATTTATTAAATGTTATAATACATATTTATAGTGGAGATTTAATATGTTTTAAAATGTTGCAGACTCTAGCTTTTTTTACTAAGGTTCTATTTGTACAGAAGATTGATTTCATATTTTAACTTGTGTTTTGTTATATTTGTAATTGCTTCTTGTTGTATCACTTTATCACCCCATCTGGCTTGCATATACTAATACCAGATTTTGTACATTACTATTATATGTAGCCATGTTGCTGCTTTTTGAAATTTCTTGTTTTTTATATTAGTCATCTAAAGGATATTCTTGATTAAAGAGAGGGTCAGTCTGTTTTCATGAAATTTCAGACACTTATAGGCTGTTTCCTATATCTTTTTGCTTATTGGGCATTTGAGGGCAAAGTGTTCAATTGTTTGGGTTTCATAGGGACAGTTTGGACAATCTCCTAGGTTCTCTTGGTTAAAATGTGCCAAATGGTAGCCTAGTGGGAGGGCTCTATGTGCTAGCCTCCAGAAGATGTCTTTTTTCTTGTTTAGAATATATTTTTGTTTTTATTCATTTAAATTCTAATAGCTTTGTTTCTGGATTTGTTCTGTTGTTGTTTGGCCTTATATTTTCATAGTATTTAGTTAGTGCTTTTTTGACTGTAAATTGGTGACCATTTAGTGAACATATTTCAAAATTTTCTGATAACCATGGCCATGCTGTGTTTGTTTTGATTTTTCTTTTAAACCTGTTCCAGGCTGTTATATAAGGTTTTCATTCTTCTGGCTATCCCTTTAGTTTACAAGGAGATTGCTATAGAATCTCAGTTATTGTTTTTTTCTTTTAATCTGCAATGCTAATGCAATTTGTGTTTTTTCTGTTCTGGCCCAAAAGAAGCTACTTGATAAGAGTTTTGTCTATATTGTAAGCAGTTTTGCATCTAGCATATCCTTAAGTATAGGAGCAGTCAGACCACCTTGTTCATAGCTAAGTTGGAAAGTTGAGTATTTTGGCAGCATTTTGGAGTTTTTTTTGATCCACTTGGATATTATTGCATTGATTTTGTTTAGTTGTTTTCTTGTTGGTGACAGCAAGTAGGCAAGGTATTATATTTTTGAAATAAGGAGGGTTTTTGCTACTAGAATTTTTCTTTTAAGTGATAGATTTCTTTGTGACAGGACTTGTATCTTATTCTTTAAATTTTTTTTCATATTGGACCAGAGAAGGCTGTCTGGCTTTCCTTTTGTGTCAATTTCATAGCCCAAAATAGTAATGCTATTTTGTTCTTCATTAGTTGTTTTATATTCAGCTTAGTTTGTTAGCTCGATCCTGTAGGCATTTGAGGTAATTGGAATGAGTGTTGATTTAGTTCTGTTGACTTTGGCATTTGATGCTTTTTCGTAACAGGATACTGGATCCTACTTCTATTGATACATCATCTGCATAGGCAACTATTTTGAATACTATGTTGTTAATAGAAATGCCTCTGATGTTTTGGTCTATTGTTTGTATTAGAGGGTTGATTGCTAGGACATATAGGAGTGGTGATAGTGGGTCTCCTTGTCTCACTCCTTTTTCGACTTTGAAGAGCTCAGAGATGAACCCTGAGTCTGTAATATGAGCTTTTTGGTTGGCAAATAGTAAGTTTACAATTCTAATAAATTTAGTGTCAAAGTTCATTTTTTTTAAAACTAGCTAGATAAAGTAGTGGCTGACTCTGTCAAAGGCTTTTTGTTGGTCTAAAAGCAAGATCTAGTGTTGTTTGAATTGATCATTTTGGTTTCTAAGTATTGTTATTATGTCTAAAGCTGCATCTGTTATTGATCTTTTGGCAATAAATGCTTGTTGTGTAGGTCCAATTATTTTATTACATATTGGGTTAATCTAATTTGCTAGTAGCTTCATAAATATTTTTGCATCTGAGTTTACAAGTGATATTGGTCTCCAATTTTCGATTTTAGACAGGTCCTTCAA